GTTCTCATTCATAATGGCCAATGTTTGTCACTCCAGCCACCAAACCGCCTATTCGTGAATAAACACAAGACTCACAACTAATGTTCCAACGTTTCTTCAATAGTGAAAATTTTCTTCAATCAATTCTCCAATAATAGCCTTCTTCCTGTATTGCACTTTCACCTCTGTAAATGCTTCAACCACGTACTGCAGATGAAAATAATCCATAACAGAACCTAAAACTCCTAATCTAACCAAGATCAAACTATACACAAAACGCTAATTCATAAAATAATAATTTATATATGAGAAAGTTCAGATTTTGCTACATAGGAGTGTGGGTGCAGCTTGGACATGCACAGCCTGAGGACGACTTTCAACACAGAACGCCAGGGACTTTGAAGCCATCAAGAGCACACAGGCCTCAAGCCACGACCCCAAGCAGGGTGGCCAAAGCCACGACCCCAAGCAGGGTGGACAAAGCCACGACCCCAAGCAGGGTGGACGAAATCACGACCCTAAGCAGGGTGGACAAAGTCACAACCCCAAGCAGGGTGGACAAAGCCACGACCCCAAGCAGGGTGGACAAAGCCACGACCCCAAGCAGGGTGGACAAAACCACGACCCCAAGCAGAGGTAGACGAATTCACGACCCCAAGCAGGGTGGCCAAAGCCACGACCCCAAGCAGGGTGGACAAAACCACGACCCCAAGCAGAGGTAGACGAATTCACGACCCCAAGCAGGGTGGACAAAGCCACGACCCCAAGCAGGGTGGCCAAAGCCACGACCCCAAGCAGGGTGGCCAAAGCCACGACCCGAAGCAGGGTGGCCAAAGCCACGACCCCAAGCAGGGTGGCCAAAGCCACGACCCCAAGCAGGGTGGACAAAGCCAGAGTGAGGTGCAGCTCTGCCTCCCACCGCCACCACGACCATGGGGGTGTGGCGACTCTCACCAGATAACAAGCTTCCAGCGCTACTGCGATAAGATAAGGAGGAAGAGAATAGAAGGAAGGTGAATAGGTGAAGGGGGCTAACAATTAGTAGACGGCTGATGATGAGGAGGAGGAGGAAAGGGAAGAGAAGATTAATAGAAAACGCCAATATTATAGTATTTATCAAGGTCGTGCTCCTGTGTGTGTGTGTGTGTGTGTGTGTGTGTGTGTGTGTGTGTGTGTGTGTGTGTGTGTGTGTGTGTGTGTGTGTGTGTGTGTGTGTGTGTTTGTGGGAGATGTGAGGGTGATTCCTGGGGGAGATCTTTGACAAGCCTCTAGAGAGAGATAGTGCCCCTCAGGTAAATTCAGGCAAAGGTATATAATCCGTCGACAATTAATATATATATAGCGAGTAGGGAACTGACAAGCTTGTGCCCCTCAGGAGACAATGTCTACAGATGTTGCAGCTCAATTCTTGCAATCAGCGATAAATGCAATTCCTGTCCTCTGCTTCACCTAAATGCAACCCAGTGACGTATAAACAGACGCTGTCTTTAACATGCTTCCCACTTACCTTACCGCTTAATCTACCCCTTAGCTTCCCACTTAATCTACCCTTAGCTTCCCACTTAATCTACCCCTTAGCTTCCCACTTAATCTACCCCTTAGCTTCCCATTTAATCTACCACTTAGCTTACCGCGTAAGTTTCCAGTTTAGCTGTCACTTACTCTCCCACTCAGCCTCTCTACTCCCCCCCCCCTTCCCTTTAAGCAAACACTCCCAAACAGAGGCGTGATAAGTAGCTATCAAGTGTAAATGTGTAGATGTATGTGTAGCTGTTTGTGTATGTCTATGTGTAGATGTAGAACCCAAACACGCGAGCTTACACAGCTAGTTATAACTGCGGAAGTTATAACAAGTCGCTACAACCAGGCAAAACAACTTGTCAGTTATTTACCAATGACGCAAATTATTCAATAAATTTCCAGAACTAATAAAGGAATACAGGTGTAGGCGGGAACTAATAAAGGAATACAGGTGTAGGCGGGAACTAATAGAGGGATACAGGTGTAGGATGGGAACTAATAGAGGGATACAGGTGTAGGCGGGAACTAATAAAGGGATACAGGTGTAGACAAGAACTAATAAAGCCATACAGGTGTAGGAAGGGAACTAACAAAGCCTCGCAGGTGTAGGCCAGGCTTGCTCTGCTTCATGTATCTCTACAGATGTTTGTAGATTTAACTTGTAACAACTAAATGTTATTAACACAAAAAATAGCGTGTAAACATCAGCAATAAAAAGAACAACAAGAGACTAATAAAAAAATTAAAATATTTCTTCCAAAAATAATCCCAAGATACACATTATTCAACTAATGATAATGTTCAATACTATTCCTATAGTTTACTAATAACAATATGTAATTATATTTTTATTAATTAATGACAACATACTATTGTTTATTTACTAATAGATATTACTAATTAATACTTGTGTATTATGTGTAAGAGTGTGGGCCTTGAAGAGTTAAGTAAGGCTATTTGAGAAAAGGATAGAGTAGTTTAGGCTGTTTCTACCCTCGGGAGAAATAGGCTACCCTAAGGCTATTTCTACCCTCGGGAGAAATAGGCTACCCTAAGGCTATTTCTACCCTCGGGAGAAATAGGCTTCCCTTCTACCCCTTGTCTTCACCAATGTAAAAGTAGTTTTAATTATTTATTTTCATACATAGGCGGGTACAGGAACAGACGACTGCTGACTCCTGTCAGCAGACTGTGAGAACTTTCCCATCCCATAACTCATGGTAAGTCTCACCCAGTAGCTTACTTGGAACACCAATTGTTTAACAACCAGGTACGTGTTCACTGCTGGAGTGAACAGAGGTGTACAATTAAGCATTTGTGCTTAGTCAATCCTCCCCGGCCACGATACGAACCCAGGCGACATTACTTGCGAAGCGCGGGGCGAGTGTGTTACCACTGCGCCATCGGGGACCTGAAGTAACATTTATTTGAAATTTATTGAATACATTTTGTGAATTTTCAAGAGGTTAGAGTTCTTGAAGTTGGACAGGTTGACAACCCGTTGTCGTAACCACCTCTATAATTTGATATATTTAGGAAAACACGAACGTTCAAATTATTCTATTTGACCAAAGGGAAGATGACTGGTGATCACACACACGCACCTGTTATATATATATATATATATATATATATATATATATATATATATATATATATATATATATATATATATATATATATATATATATATATATATAAGAAGGTACAGTGGATTTGTGAGAGTACATAGCACTGTGTTTACATTCTTGTAAAGCCACTAGTACGCACAGCGTTTCTGGCAGGAATCTCTTTCCAGACATATCTCTCCTCTGGATGTAAAACGCTCAATCGCGCTAAAAAAAGGTACTTCAAAATTTCTGTCACAATCTTGGCTTTTATGTATTACACCTTTAGGCAAGATTTTCGACTAGACTCACAAAGAAATGCGAGAAAAGCGGCGGACTACGACTGATATAACAACATGCCGGGTTGAGTGGGTGGACTGTTGTTTAAGATTCGCTACCTGGAACAAAAAGTTCCAAGTAGCACAGGCTATGGTGAGCCCGTTGGAGTGGTGGACGAGCCTCTGTACATAGGGTGAATGTCCTTGCAACACCTTCATTTGTACCTCCTCTCTCTCACGTCACTATTAAGTGACAGGTGTTGTATCTGACTCGATTCCTTCATATCTTACTAATCGAATTATGCATCAGATTAATAATAATAATAACAATAATAATAATAATAATAATAATAATAATAATAATAATAATAATAATAATAATACTGTTGTTTAGATACAAAAAGAACTCACACTAACGTGATTTATATCAATGATAAAATCAATTGTACCAGTGATCATGGTACTCCCAGCATCGCTCCTGTACCCCCTGTACCATGACATGGTACAGGGGATACATGGTACAAAGTTATACAACCTGGCAGTCCATAGTGTTTGAATTATTATATTTATTATTGAAATGACACGTTCAATTATGAATGCAAACACCAATACCAAAATAATAATGAGTAGAAAATAATATTAAAAGCATTACTACTAGTATTAAAACTACAACTATTGTTACTATCATTACAGGAGGGTAGAAATAGCCTAAGCTATTCTATTATTTTGAGATGTATTTTTATTGACTATAAACGTACGTGAACGTAAACCATCATTACAACCACTCTACAGCTACTATTATTAATACTGCAACTATCACAAAAACTATTTCTACTACTAATAATAATGATAATTTCAATAATAATCATAAATTAATCATTTTAATATTTACTGAATTTCTATATTAATAATTACGCATTATAACACATTAATCAAATATTAATTATTGAATAATCTAATATTATTTAACAATCATAATCACAGTGTTTGTTATTATTATTTTGAATAAATAATAACATCACTACAATTACTGATTGAAATAAAGATCGATAATAATATCAATAGTAATTTACAAAAATAGCCTAGCTACATCAGAGGCGCAATTTAATGATTTTTAGTTAGTTTTTAAAGTATTTAGTTATTTTAGTTCATATACTAAACCACGAAGAATATTTATAACATATAAGAACTCGAGCTTAACAAAAATAGCAATGCAGTAATTATGTCTTAACGCAACGGGTGTTTATTGATCGATTTTGGTGTTTAAAGTTACAATCAACTTGAATTTAAGTTCGCCTGCGATAAGGCTGGGGTAAGTTACCTTTTGGTTGACTTAGTGAGTGTGTTAAGCACCAGTCATATCAACCTTGAGAGTTAGACGAGTTAGAGTTTCTTGAAGTTACCCATTTGGCTCAAGTCACTTTTAAGAGGCAGATATTGAACATTTCTGTTCATTTCTGTACTTTCTCGTCCTATGACGGGCCCACACCCCGGCCAGGATATTCGGGTCACTAGAACTGCTAGGAAGGTTATGTGTAATATTCACGTGTCACTCGGCTTGCTACAATGAGGTGAGGATGAACGGGATGATGAACGAGGTAAACTGTTTACTTACCTAGATTTAGCGGCTTCTTGTCGACGGGCGTGGGTGGGAGGACTGTGCTGGAGGGCGTGGGCGTGAGTGGGTGTAGAGGAGGAGGGCCACGTAGGGCCGCCACGCCCGTTTGGTGCGGGGAGGAGAGGGCCACGTGGCTGTGGGTGATGTGGGCGGTATGGGCGTGAGAGAGGGCGTGCACAGCGTCGTGGCCCACATCCAGGGCGTGTAGGGTATCCTGGCCGGGGGTGTGGCGGTGCCGTGGGTCGTGGCTGTGGGCGTGGGAGTGGTCGTGGACGCCGTGGGTTGGGTCGTGGGTGAGCGTGGGCGTGTGGGAGGGGTCGTGGGAGAGTGGTGGAGGCTGGAGGTCGTGGAGGGAGAGGCCGTCGTGGAGGCCGGTGGCAAGGCCGTCCATGGCTCCTGCAGGTGTGGTGGAGGGGGCGGCCCGGGCCACGTGGCCAGGGGCACCGCCGCTACGGGCCCTTGCCGCTGGGCCGCACCTGACCGCACTCAACTGTCCACCTCCCGAACACCAGAGTCACCGTCTCCGCCGCGGTAAATTCGGCTCAGGTTGGCTCAGGTCATAAGTCGCTGCAAGTCTGGCCAATCCTGCAGTATCCGCGGGGAATCACCGCCACCGCTCAATCCTCGCCCCGTCCGGAGCCCGCAGAGATCGCCCCGTCGCCGCCGTCGCCCGCTAGTCCACCCTTGCCACTCCAAATCTTTCCAAAATCCCCGCCCAAGTCGCCGGTTGTACGAAGGGCTTACTGCTGAAGCTCCGGAAGCCCCAGTCAAGTCCGCGGGCTTGGCCGAGCTTCCGACAGAGTCTCCGTCGCTACGTCGGGCCAACCCTCAGACTTCGCCAGCCCAAAACACCTGCCAATCTCTCCTCAGTTTTTCGCGTTTTTTTTTGGTACGGAACTAATGCCAGGGTAGGCAGCGCACACGGTGTTACTTGGAACAATCGGTATTCTGCTATGACCGCGGGTATTGCCAGTAGTTAACTTGGGCTAAATCATCCGACATTATCTTCGACCATTTGGCGGAGCGGTGGAGTGGGCGGGGCCTCGGCGCCGCCAGCCAATCACCCGCCGCCGTCACCCGCCCGCAGAAACGACATCACACGGCGACCTTTTACGCCAGAAAATATCTCATCAATCACAATCCTTCCTCTCTTATCGTCATCTCCTGGCCATAGGCTCCGCCAGATTTTACATGCATCCGTTCTTGAAGTGTATCTTAGCGAGGAGGAATTGAGTGGGCCGCGTGTAGCGTGTCTAGCGGTGAGTGGCAACTAACACGTTAGGGGAGAGAGGAGGGGGAGGAGTGGAGAGAGAGAGGAGGGGATGAGGAACATGGTGGGGGAAAATGGGGGGTGAGGGGCGGGGCCAGCCAATGGGCCGCACTCAACCATGTCCGTCAATTTAATACCCAACGAATACACTCGCGCCTAAATTATGGTATAGTCAATTTGATTTGTAGGCGAGAGGTAGAAAGTCAGGAAGGAGAACATCCGAACGGTTCGCTCTTTGATCCTGCTGGGGGGAGAAAAATTTCCCTTTCTCCCCTACACGGCCAGCAACCAGGGGAAAACTATTTTCTTTTGTTTTTAAATAAACAAAAATAAAAACGATTCGTTCATTCTCGCTCGTATGATATTTGGAGGAAGAAAGTAAATCTTTAATTGTGGAAAAAGCCGCCGGACTTTCACAAGAAGAGCGGAGAAAACTGTAAGAGCTTACTGTAAAATCGATGGGGGGCGTTGGAGGCGCATACACAGCACCGCGTTGTCGTCCCCGCCGCCGTCTGCGTCGTCCCCGCCGTCATCGTCGTCCCCGCCGCCGTCTACGTCGTCCCCGCCGCCGTCTGCGTCGTCCCCGCCGCCGTCTGCGTCCCCCGCCGCCGTCGTCAGCGTCGTCCCCGCCGCCGTCTGCGTCGTCCCCGCCGTCAGCGTCGTCCCCGCCGTCGTTAGCGTCGTCCCCGCCGTCGTCTGCGTCGTCCCCGCCGTCGTCTGCGTCGTCCCCGCCGTCATGGTCGACATCATTGTTGCCACCGCCGTCGACATCATTGTCGCCACCGCCGTTATTATCGTTGATGGTGCACTTTTTTCATCTCTGTCGTCACGTCGTTGACACAGCCCCAGTTGATGTCATCGTTGTCGTCGTCGCCTCAGGTCCGCTCTAACGTGCTGTCGTCTGTGTTATCTTTGGAACCTTGAGGCTCCGCGGGAGATGACACCTTACTAGCACTGTAAGAGCTTACTGTAAAATCGATGGGAGTATATATATATATATATATATATATATATATATATATATATATATATATATATATATATATATATATATATATATATATATATATATATATATACCCCCATCATTGCCTAATGCATTCCATTTCTTAACTACTCTGACACTGAACAAATTCTTTCTAATGTCTCGAGTGGCTCATTTGGGTATATATATATAATAAGCAAGAACAATTACATATATATATATATATATATATATATATATATATATATATATATATATATATATTATATATATATATATATATTATATATGTAATATATATAATTGTTCTTGCTTGTTCTTGTGTGTGTAATTATCTACGTGTAATTACGTAAGTGTAGTCATAATTGGTCGCTACGCTGGTGGTGTCCCGTCTTCCCAGCACTCTTTGTCGTATAACGCTCTGAAATTACTGACGGTTTTGGCCTCTACCACCTTCTCACTTCACGGCATTTTAAGCTGCATTATAACATTTAACTCCAGTATTTTTGACCTTACCCCATCTATTTTAGTATTCACAATGTCAGGAACATGTCCCCGCCTCCTTTGCCCTTCACACTTCTCTGCTCTAAAGAATTTGTTGATTTTACTTTCGTGTACTGAATCATCTCAATGGCTTCCCGACCCCTATCACCTTGCGGGAAAAAGAATTACGTTCTTACTTATTTCTGTATTCTTTTAAGCATTTCGATTCAACAAGGATTAGTTTCATCTTCATTAGAAAAATCTTGACGTGTGTGTGTGTGTGTGTGTACTCACCTAGTTGTATTTGCGGGGGTTGAGCTCTGGCTCTTTGGTCCCGCCTCTCAACTTTCAATCAACTGGTGTGTATGTGTATTTATTATTTGTATTTACTATTTGTGTTTGCAGAATCGAGCTATTAGCTCTTGGACCCCGCCTTTTTAACCAATCTATTTTTCCTCTATTATGTCTACCACATATATTTCTCCCTAACACACACACACACCGCCTTAGTTGAGAGGCGGGACCAAAGAGACAGAGCTCAACTCCCGCAAGCACAACTAGGTGAGTATATACACACACTTGTCCAGGAAGCAGCCCGTAGCAGCTGTCTGACTCCCAGGTACCTATTTACTGCTAGGTGAGCAGGTGCATCAGGGTGACGCCTGAGGCATGTGTATGTGTGTACTCACTTATTTGTGCTTGCGGGGGGTTAAGCTTTGGCTCTTTGGTCCCGCCTCTCAACTGTCAATCGGCTTGTGTACAAATTCTGGTGCCTATTGGATTCTATCCAATCTACATTTGAAACTGTATATGGAGTCAGCCTCCACCACATCACTGCCTTATGCATTCAATTTCTTAACTACTCTGACAATGAACAAATTCATTCTAGTGTCTATGTGGCTCATTTGGGTACTAAGTTTCCACCGTGTCCCCTAGTGTGTGTGCCCCTTGTGTTAAATAAACTGTCATTGTCTACCCTATCAATTCCTTTGAGAATCTTGTATGTGGTGATCATGTCCCCCCTAACTCTTTTGTCTTCCAGCGACGTGAGGTTTAATTCTCGTAGGATCTTCTCATAGCTCATACCCCTTAGTTCGGGCACTAGTCTTGTGGCAAGCCTCTAAGCCTTCTCCAATTTTGTCTTATGCTTGACGGGATGTGGACTCCACGCTGGAGCCGCATACGCCAGGATTGGTCTGACATACATGGTATTCAAGTTTCTGAATGATTCCTTACACAAGTTTATAAAGGCTGTTCTTATGTTGTCCAAGCTGGCATATGCCGCTGATGTTATCCTCTTAATAACATGAAGTGTGTGTGTGTGGAAGGGGGGGGGGGATATATGTGTGTGGGATATGTGTGTGTGTAGTAACATATAAACAAATACGAGCGCACACATATATAAAAGTGTGCACGTCAACAGTAAACACATAATCTCTACACATATCCTACATAATACATCTCTACATAATCTCTACTCAGATCTCTACACACACAAAAACTGAATCTCCCTTGAAATGAAGGATCCACTGCATGTGACAAACTCCTGAAGGGGGGGGGGGGACAAGAAGCCTGTTAGGCTATCCAGGGCCTCTAGGCCAACGACTGACATTTCCCAGGATGCAACCCTGCAACAGTTGCCTACCTCACCCACACATTATATATGTTTACTGCAAGTGGGTTGTGAGATAACTGCGCTAACTATTGAACTACTACTCACCCTCCTCCCACAGTACAAGGTTTTACCATCTATCTAATGAGTTCCCAGGGCCCAGCTTCCAAAGCCCCCACATCTCTCTCTCTCTCTCTCTCTCTCTCTCTCTCTCTCTCTCTCTCTCTCTCTCTCTCTCTCTCTCTCTCTCTCTCGCTCTCTCTCTCTCTCTCTCTCTTCTCTCTCTCTCTCTCTCTCTCTCTCTCTCTCTCTCTCTCTCTCTCGCTCTCTCTGCTCGCTCTCTCTCTCTCTCTCTCTCTCTTCTCTCTCTCTACTCTCTCTCTCTCTCTCTCTCTCTCTCTCTCTCTCTCTCTCTCTCTCTCTCATGTTCACTCACCCATCCACAATTCACTTCTTAACAAGAGGTCATAGATATAAACTAGCTAAACACAGATGCCGAAGAAATATAAGAAAATTCACTTTCGCAAACAGAGTGGTAGACGGTTGGAACAAGTTAGGTGAGAAGGTGGTGGAGGCCAAGACCGTCAGTAGTTTCAAATCGTTATATGACAAAGAGTGCTGGGAAGACGGGACACCACGAGCGTAGCTCTCATCCTGTAACTACACTTAGGTAATTACTTAGGTAATTACACCCACACAAACGTCCTCATGCTAATAGTGAACAAGTCTAGTGAGTTAGGAGTTAACTCTAAATTTGAAATCTGTATTCCCTTGAACGCTGGGGGAGAGATATACATAATAATTTATTCTGTACTTGGAAAATATTTAGAGGGGCTGGATCCAAATCTGCACACGGAAATAACTCTACATAAAACAAGAAGACATACTGGCCGACCTCTCACGGTGTTCAGATGATAACCTGATGAACACCGACAAAGTATATCTGATCAACCAGGTTGTGATTCAAACGTCAGGCTGCGAGCAGCCGCGTCCAACAGTCTGACCTGACCAACAACCAAGAGGCATGGTCAGAGACCGGGCCGCAGGGGACAGTGATCCTCGGAACCATCACAAGATAAGGTAAAGTAACTAATCTTTTCAAACAGATGTAATACGAAGCAAAAGTTAACGACGCGACTGCGACCGACAGGAAGACAAATGCCGGAACCCAGGAGCTAAGAGCCGTACCCAGCACACATAAACGTACTCATCCTGGCCACAGAATTCGTAACAATTATTCCTCTATCACTGATCGACGACCGGGCCGCGGGGACGCTAAGCCCCGGAAGCACCTCAAGGTAAGGTATCACTGGGCGGGAGACCGCGGCGAGAGCTCGACTCTTATCTATGATTTACAAACCCATAAACTGTCCACACCCCCCCCCCTCCCCCCTGCCCCCACAATACCCCCCCCCCCTTTCCTTGCTGATAAGAGACCTTCCCCCCTCCCTTGGTCTCTGCTAGCTTGGGACAAGATAATTTTATCCCACGTAGGTCAATAAGGGTCGATTACCTGTACCACTTGAGCCAGATAGACCTCAGTGGTTGAGAGGTGTTCGCTGTCTTGAGGCGTTCGCTGTGTCAAGTTCGCTTAGCCTACTGCGGCGAGTATAG